AAGGTAGTGATTAACTTGAACAGCCCACAGCTGTTCACACTTAGAAGAGTCAATGGCTGAGAATTAGCATTTGACTGGGTTTGTTTATTGGTTCTCCCTGCTTGTGAGCTAAGAGGCAGGGGGAAGCCTGGGTCTGGCCAGGCTATGATATTATATTTACATTTTAAAAGAAGCCTAACACCTAACTGCTCAGACTACCATACAAGAGAGAGAGCACATCAGATTTACAAATCTACATGTCTAAAAAGTATGCAAGATTATAATCTGGTAAATATGCACCTTTGGGAGTCAGGAAGTTAATGGCATAGTGTGAGCCCCCCTGGAAATTGAATGGTGACATATGTTAATAGCCAGACTGGAAAAGGTACTTAAGCCTGCCTAAAGAGCATGGCTTAGTCTTCATTCTTCCCAGGTACAAGGGAGGGGCTGAGTCCCACAGCCAAGCAGGCTGGGTAAAATCAGCTGACAGGGGAATGCAGGAAGTCCTGATAGGAAGGGTTTCCTGCATCTTTGAATTGAAGGTGCAGGGTAAGAACAGGTCAATGTTCTGCTATCTTCTTTTGTTTTTTTACTCTTACAAATCTGTTTCACAATATGCGGTTACTGGTTTCTTATGCTTGTTCTTGTTTTGTAATAAATCCTTTTGTTGTCTCCTTCCACTGGCTGCCTCTGAAAGGAGTGACTTCTAGACAAGTGATATTCCAGACTGACTCCCTCTACTGAGAGAAGGCCCTATAATTTCTTCCATAACCCAGAAGTGGGGGCCACTTGAGGCCAACAGAGATCACTCACTGTAGCTACAGAGTCCAGTGTAAGGGCAGAGGAACTGAGGATTACCGTGATAGGGAGCTTTACCTGCACAACAGGCAGCTTGCAGCTAAAATACACAAATGAGATGCTTCACTCTTGGATACTTTCCATCCAGATTCAGCAAAAATGGAAGTTGGGTGGACTTATGGGAAATGTGTGTGTGTGTGTGTGCATGTGTGCTTAATTTAATGTACACTTTTTAAGGCTCTTAACTTATTTTTGCCCATACACCATCTGTTTCCATGGTAGCAGTTCTGGGTACCAGCAGCTGAAATTGAATTTCAGCTGCTTGTGGCTGTTTCCATAGAAAAGGATGCTGGATGGGTGGAAATCCAATTCCTCTCTCATATATTATGCTTTAAAAGCTGTGTATTCTTTTCTTTTAAGAAAAGATTTAATTAAATTTTTAGATTTAAAAATAATGTTAGAAAATTAATTGAGGTAGATGATTTGGGATTCTATTTCTGGTCACTGCTGTAGATCTGGAATAACTCACTTAAAAGTCAATGGAGTTACTATAGATTTACCGACAACAAAATTTGACCTTTATTTTTCATTCTCATCTTTTGGTGTTCTTGATAACGTTCTAGTGATGTCCCCAGTAATCCAGCCCTACTCCCTAGGCAGGGTCCTTGTGATACTTTTATTTTGGGAAAACCTATTTTGTACCATTTGAACACTTTTTTCTTTCTTTCAAAGGACTTTTTTCTTTCTGCAAGGGCAATTTGCTTCCCATTGGACCAACACTAATGTTATTTCATGAACTTGCCAGCAGGAGGAGCTTGTGTATTAAAAGACACTTGTAATAAGGCAAACACTGGGTTATAGTAATTGTACACAAAACTTTGTTTTCAAACACAGCATAGACTAGCTGTCTGTCTAGCAGAACAGTCCTGGCAGTAGTGTCAGCCATGGCCATCTTACTGGCAAAGTGAATCCTAGCAAAGTGATCACATGGGTAATCTTTAGGATGAAAAAAGCCTGCCAAAGGAAAAGGGTTTATTTCTTTTCTTTTGTAGATCTTTACACCTTTCAATAACTATGTACTTTTTATTCCACTTACAAATCTTAAGAAGCTCTCATCCATGTTCTGCCTACACATATCAGAATCCCATCATGCTTTAAAAAATATTCACCATGAAAATAATAAGTAATATCATAGTCATACTATCATAGTAATATCATCGTAGGACTGGAAGGGACTTCACAAGGTCATTTAATCTAGTCCCCAAATTCTCTCTTTTGACAGATATAATAATATAAATAAAATGAAGTTGAAACTGAAGTTGATTTAGAAAGTAGGATCTTTCCCATACGCACTTAGTGTTATTTATCAGACTTCCCCACAGCTACATAAGTAGCACTGCTGTGTTACAAAATAAAAATCATAAAGTCTAGAAGTATGGTAATGGAAATCTATTTGTCTTTGGCTACCAAAAAGTAAGCTTGATTTTATTGCTAAGCAGGAAAAGAAATAAATGTACAATTAGTAAATCTTGGTATTACACAGGAGGAACAAGTGTGTTACTAAAAGAATTATGATTGATGAAAATATTATGCATTTTTTTCCCTGTAAAGGATTTCTGGTTGCACAGAAAGAATAAGTACTGGATTAGGAGCTCTAGTGAACTTTAGTTAAAATCAGTATATTTACTTAAGACTTTTTCCAAACCCAAGGCTGCTTCAAAACATTCTACTAAGAAACTGCACAACTATGAAGCTCTGAACTCTAGTTTTAAAAGCATTTTCATTTTCTGCTAACATTTACAATTTTGCAGTTTACTTTGGCAGGGTATTTCCTGCAGCTATTTTCCCATTATGTTGGGGAATATTGACAATAGTATTTATTAGAGGTGCACTGATACATCGTCCGATATTGGATCAGCACCGATATAAAGAAAATTGATTGTTTTGGAAATCAGCCTGATTTGGCCAATAAATGCCCGTGCATGCACGCAGCCGCAGCACAGCATATAGGCAGCAAGACATGGTCTGGCAGCTTGGAGAGCTGCATGAAGCTGGTAAGTCTGGTGTGGTGGGAGGAAAGGGGCATGGTGGGGCAAGGCCCCATGCTGATGGAGGAGTGGGACTGGGGTGGGGCAAGTGCTGCCCAGCCAGGGCAGGGTGGGCGTGGGACCAAGGTGTGGCTCATCCAGGAGGTGCAGGGAGTGGGGAGGCGGCTTATCTGGGAGCCACCAGTCCGGTGCTCGCCCGCTCATCCGGTGGCTCCTGCCGCTAGTGTGGGAGGGCATGGGGCTTGTGGCCCAGGAACTGCGCAGGGCAGGGCAGAGTGGGCCAGGAAGAGCTCTGAGCAGCACTGAACCTAGCCCACCCCACCCTGCATTGATAAGGGTCACCCCCTCCCTCATGCCGTCCTGTATGAGCAGCGGGAACAGCAGCGGAAGCTACTGGACGAGTGGCTCCCAGATGAGCAGAGCGCAGCAGTGGGAGCTGCCCCCCTCCATGCCCCCAAGATGAGCTGTGGCTCTGTCCCACGCCTGCTCCAGCCCCACTCCTCCCTCTCACTACAGGGGACTTGCTCTGCCCCGCTCCCCCCCCCGCCCATGCCCCTTCCCACCCCACTCCTTTTTCACCACACCAGACTTAACTAACTGCAAGCAGCTCTCCAAGCTGCTGGGCTGGTATCAGAAATCGGATTGGTATCAGCTGACATGCCTCCTTTAAAATCAGCTATCGGTATCAGCCCCAAAAAATTTCTATTGGTGCACCCCTAGTATTTATGAGAGTTAAAAACCAATGGTTACCACCGCCAATATGAAATGCTATTGTCTTACCTTGCTAAAGTACTCTGCCTCTGAGAGTTAATTATGCACCTATATATAGGACTTGTACAAGGCATGTTTAACTAGATCTCATTAATTAACCCCTCAAATTACTGCTGAAGTGGGACTTGAGTTTACATCTGCCTATGCAGAGGTAAATGTCATACTGGAAAGAAAAGGGAGTGAATTCATTATTTGCTTTAGAACTATATAATTTTTACCTAAAATAACAAGTATTACAGAAGACCAACTCTCCAACTCGCACTGAATGTTGATACAAGTACCTGTTTTTTCCGAAATGCTAGTAAGTGATGTTTGTTGAGTTGTATAAAATGTACTCATGTAGGGTGCGTGCAGATGTGCGTGAATGTTTCATTCCCCAGGGACAACTAGGAGCGGCGCACATTGCACTGCAGCTGCTTGTCCCTGGGGAATGCCCGTGCCATGCACGCTTTGGCTGCAGCAAGTTACCCCAGGGGCGGTAGGGGATGCTGGGGCCAGCACTGTGCTAGACCCAGCAGCCTTATCTGGGGTCCTGGGGGCCTCTTGGGGCTGCAGGTGCGGTGATTGTGCCATGCAGAGCCTGGCTGGCAGTGGAGTGTGGCTCCAGGTGGCCTGGTTCTGCTTTTCAGCAGCTGTCACTGCCCAAGCATGTGATGCACTGGTGGGTTTTTTTGTGCAGGTTTTTTTGACCCCTGGGGGGGAAAAAAATGGTGCAGTGCATGCTCAGGTAGCGCGCCTTTGTAGCACAGAGAGCACCAAACTGTGTGGTGTGTGATACTGCAAACATGTCTGCGGTGCCACATACCGCACAACCATGCTCGTCTGCACACACCCGTAGTGTCCTCTAAAAGCATGGTAAAAGTACAACGTTATCTCTTCCTACTGTAGTTTTCCAAGGACTCTATAGCAATGACATCTAGGTCAGCAGAATTTTCTGTTACTGCTTGTTGTTGAATATAGACTATTCTGAGTAAATTTTTTTCAGAAAGCTCATTCATGTAAGATCACAGTCTGTTGTTGGTCAGAACAGACTCAAGAGTTCCCAACAGGGATGTATTACTAATGTGCTTCATCACATGATGATACATGCATCCATAATTAGAAGAATGTTAACTGAAGCATCATCCAAGCTCTTGCTCAGTTTGCCTGTGTTTATCACTTCAAAATGCTGGAATTGCAGTCTCCCATAAATACTACTTGTCCTCATATTTTACAGGATCACACTTGTAATTCAGATTCCAGATAGCAGTATAAATAATACAAGTCTATGTAGTTAAGGATGTGTACTGTAGTTTGCAACCTTGTGCCAGGTTCTCATAACATCTGCTTTTTCCATATTCAGACCAGCGACAGGCTAATTTTCATATAAAATGAACTTGTTCTTGTGTTTATTCTTTTTCCTAGTGATATTCAACCTGGTGGAGAACCAGTAAATAAAGGCAGTCGCTCAAGGGTGACTACCCGCTTTCCAAAGCTATCACGGAGCCATCAAAGAGAGCCACGGAATCTGGAGCCTCAAAGTGGTGACCTCTGACTTCATAACTGTGAACACCAGCACCATGTACTTTAAACAGTCCTGTGATTTCTTCCCATCCTGCACTGTTGATTATATAAGCTCCTTGGGAGAATACAGGTGCTTCAAGTTAATTCCTGAAAAGAGACGCTCAATACCAAGGTTCATCATTCTGATCAGATAGGTCACTTTTGAAGGCAGCAGTCATTTCCCAAAGGAATATGAGGGCTGCTCACTAGAGCCTCAGCAAATTGATATACATTTCCTTTGTTTTGTAAAACAGTACATATTTCCTTTGTTCTTATCTTCTCCTCTGCTACTATGAATCCTTTGTTTGTTTTGTAGAATCTCTCTCATCTACCCTCATATCATCTTTTTATGTTCCTGAGATCTGTTAGCATCATGTCAGGAAAATGCTAAGGTTTTTTTTCTCTTTACAAGCACAACTATACTTATCACTATTCAGTCTGCATGAAACACTTCAAGCACGGTAGACTAATGCTACTGCCCAGTAGTGTGACAGGCAAAATCCATGCTAATGCGCAGTATAATTAATCTACTGCACATTAGCATCACAAAAAAGTGTGCACTGGTACTAATGTGCTGGAGCGCCCATTACGGTGTATTAAGTTAGTCCCTGTAATTACAGGGACTAAGCTTAATGTGCCATAATTACAGCACATTAATGAATGTGTAGACATTCCCAGTATTTGCCAGAAAGTTGTTTCAAAAGCCTCCCTAGCCCATTACTTTTTGGAAATAAAACGACTAAAAGTCTTTGATGCACAGAAGAGGGTTTCAGAAACTTGAGAAAGTAAATGGCAGCGGAAGAATATTGTAGAAGACAAAAAAAATCTTTTGTATATGTTTAATTAGATATTCCCAGGTGCTCTCACTTGCGAAAAGTAATTCTGCCAAATCAGAGATTCTCATAATTTTCTAATGAAATGTTGTTTTTGTTGAAAGGTAAGAGGCAACATGAAACAACTTGAACAAATCAGTTCAAGAGCTTTAATGCAAAAGGAAACATGGCATTAACACAGTACAAAGTAGAGCTTTCTCGCAACGGGCTATGTTCTGTTATTGATTTGTTTTTGATGTATTATAGAACAATCTCTCTACATTAAAATAAGCAGATGTTCGGGCATTCTTACCACTGCTTTGTAAGACCTGAAATGATGCTTACAAAGAATTGCTTCATATGAAAGTGCCTGTCACCCGTTACCTCTAAGTGACCTGAAATGGTTCTGTGAGAGCAAGTAAGAAAATTGGGGGGTTAATTGTTACAAGTGATGGAAGTCCTGATATGGATTAACTGGAATCCAGTTCAGCATCCATTAGCTGCACTGCCGTAGGCAGTAAATTACACTTTAGTTATCTTCTTTTCTGTATAAAATCTTAACCAATATACATTTAGATTTTCTAATGACTGTATTTTGGCATTCCTTTGGACCACAACAACTCTCATCTCATAAGTTGTTTGGATAATCTGTACTTACCATAAATCAGTATATTTTGTTTTTGCACTGTCCACATTAGCAATTATTAAAAAAAACATTTTTCCTTTCAGGAATATAAACCACTGATTATCAATGCACTTTTCCCAATATAAAGCTTTATTTAAAAATCTAACCAACTGGGACCCCTATTCTGTGTTTGTTACGTAAGTAGTCTGTTGACTTCAATAGAACTACTCAGCTGAATAAAGACTAATGTAATGATTGCAGAACTGGAGATTAAGTGTAATCAGTGAGTTCTGTAACGGTAATATTGAAATGTACCTTGTGTACATTGCACTGAATGATAGGAAATGGCAAAAAGTTGCAGACAGATATTTCAGATCATGAGGCCAAAAGAAGAAGAATGTAAAAGAAATGAAATCTTGCTTCTCAATCACTAGCAATCTTGTCTGCTACTGCAATATCTTTTTCACATCAGTAAAAGTATTCCTTTATAAAAAAAAATCCCAAAGGACAGCTTATCAGAAGGACCAGTAGTCTTGTCTTGTATTAGGGGACAAGTTAATGTTGATGTCTGCACATGGTAGGGTACGTGTTTGTTTTTAAAAAAATGTAAGGTGGCTACAGACTCAAGGTTCTCCAGACTCCTTAATTTGATGCGTTGCTGATATTTAAAGTATGTCTTTGATAAAAAAAAGATTTTAGCAATGAATGAAAGTTCCCCTTTGAAAACATTTTTAGAGTCCATTTCTTTCAAAGGTCATAGGAGCCTTACATGGTCATGGGAGTGTGAGCTGTAATTTATGCACCTAATTTTGTCTAGTGATATTGAATTATAGATTAAGCTGAAAATCTACATTGCGTAGATTCATTTGTGGAGCAGTTGGATTTGTATATTTGCCACATGAAGACTTACTAAACTTCAAAAAATAGCTCGCAGTGTACAGCCTTTCCCCCCCCCCCCCTTCTTTGGAAAGCTGCAAATGGTAAGGAAATTAATTTAGCAGAGGCACACATGCTAAACATAGAATAATACGTACAATCCATATTTTTAAAACTGTTTCTTTTTTTGTTATTTGCAGGAAATTTGCTCTCTCTATATATATTTGGCTCTTAAATTATCTCTCCTGCTTATTTTCCCCCTCATAATTTTAATATATGGATATAGATAATGCAAAAAATAATGGACTCATTTACAGAATATAAATTATTCCCTGTTAACTATATATGCTAAGATTACAATGTGCATAGAACTTTAATTTTGTGACGAGATATATTGTAACGTGCTGCAGTTATTAACCCACTTATTCTCATCTGATTTCTTAATAAAATTTAAGAAAATAGTTGGGTAGATTTATTTCACAAGTAACACAGTATAAAAAGAATGGACAGTAACTGAACCTGTGGTCTTAACAAAAATGTTCAGAGACAGACTGCTCACATTACTCACACGGGTAACACTGAGCTCAGTGAAAATACTCAAATGAGTAAAGTGAACCAGAGTAGATTTGTTAAGTTCCAGCCAAGATTTTCTGATGTGTCTTGTACATTTGGATGCCTAAATATTTGTCATGTTGAAATACCTTAGACATGGAAACAGACGTCACTTTTGTGCCATCATAAAAATGTTTAGGTTGGCATAAAGTGAAAGCAAGCACACATCTATGCCTTCTAGTGTACCACAGATGCTCATATTTGTGGCCATAACAGAAGGTGGTAATAGATTAGGACACTGTGTTCTGGCCTATGTCTGTTTATGATGGAAGAACATGGACAGCATGAAGCTGCCTGTGGTCTCTGTCTGCCCTGAGGCATGGGCTTCACCGGCTTAAGGGCCCCAGCCCTGCACACCCCAGGAATTCCTACGCAGGATTGGGCTCCTGAATCCATGAGCGTACCTGCCTTGTTTTTCCTGCTTACCCAGATGTATCCCCTCCAGGGGTAAGCAGGGAAAGTCGGGGCTTCAGGGCCCCTGCCTACAAGTGGGGATTCCCTGCATGTAGACAGTCCCTGTGCAGCGGGGATACCTGCAGGGGAATCCCTCTACAAAGGATTTCCTTGCAGGTGCAAAGAAAGGCTGAAGTTCAGGAAGGCTGAAGTTATTTAAAAGAAGGCTGAAACTTCCCCCTTCCCTCCCCCTCACCTTGCACTTGCAGCCCTAGCCCCACACTGCTCCCAGAAATGTGCACCAGTTAGACATCCATGGAGTAGATATCCTGGAGTGTGATTAGTTGTGCCATAACATATTGTGGTAGAGCTGATCACACTCCATCTAGGACCTGTTTTCTATCTAATAGGCCTAATTTTCAGTAACTGCTATAAATACTAATTCTCTGAATATTAATTCTTTTTAAATGTTTTGGAAAATCTTGCCCAACCACTTAAAAGTATTCGGTGCTGAGAAATACTGTAAAAATAAAAATGGTTCTGTTAAATACTTCTGCATTTTACCATGTAACATTGCATCATGTGCAGTTCTGAATTTTAAGCACTGCTTTTTCTGAAATATAACCCAGATTGTTTGTGGCTGTTAGCAATTGCTTGTCGATGACCAGTGAAGAATGAGGTAGTAGAGTCAGTCCAGCTCTTGGTGGAGAGCCATGCACAGCACTACTAACAAAAACCATCTACACAGTCATATGTGATGATCTGTGCAGTTAGTGTAAAACTCATGTGGCCTTGTCTTCTCCAGGGTTGTTCCATCAGGACTGTGGTCTGCTTGTAGGACAGTGAAGAAGACTGGCTATGACACTGCCTGGCTGTAACATGTACCTGTTTTGCTCATAGGGAACGGAAGTCCCCAGTCTTCAATTTATCTGGGGACTTCGATCTGTAAACTTTCCTGAATAGAGGGGTTTTGTATTTTTTAAAATTTAATAAATGCTGTTTTTCTATTAAATTCAAAATAAATAACTTCCTAAGAAGCAGCAAGTAGGTGACAGTCTCACTTCTTTTGCAAATAGGATTGTTTATCAATTTAAATGTGATAAACACTGACTATAGTTTTAAAGAATCTCATTTTCTTAGAAACCCTGCCATTCATTATAGAGCTGGTAATGCAATGGCTTTTTTAATGGGAAACCTGATTTGATACAGGATTTAAGTCAGTGTATTTATTTATTTATTTAGTGTATGCGGTTTCCACTGAAACAATATGCCCAAACCACATATGCTAAATAAATAAATAAATGCACTGACTTAAATCCTGTATCAAATCAAGTTTCCCATTAAACAAATTCCAAGGTTTATGTGCAGCAGCGTAATGACACAGCAGCAAAGGCTTAACTTGACATGTCTGTTAAATCACATATTGTTAGCAGGATTAATAATTTCTAAGCTGGTCCTGTTTACAAAACATATTGTTTGAAGGTTAGTTGTAAGCAAATTGTATCATTTTACAAAATGTACCACAAGCCATAAACTACTGTGATTGGATTAGTATGTCAAATATTTGGAGATAAGGTCTAGTGGCAGTAAATGTTCTTATAGCTCAAGAATAAGATGCATACACTAAGGCAGAGTTTGTCATTTTGAAATAAACATTTTCTTGTATAAAAATCTGATTCCTAACAGTCACAGTAATTAATAAAAATGTAAATGTTAATAGGATTGACTGGCTCAGGACAGCTCGCTAGTAATAAATGTATTTAAGAGTGAGCATTGAATAAAGTAATGTTAATGTCTGTCAGTTTTTATTAACAATCTAGAAAGATGATATTTTCTTACAAATACTTCCAGTCTGAAGATCTATATAGTGTTATTTTAGATGCAGACATGGATCTAAAAAGTCCTAGTCCTTGCAGGTTGGTCCTGAAGTATCACTGACTCAATACTATTTAGATAAAGAAAATATTAAACTCTTAATCTTTTGGGATTCCAGCTTTGTAATAGCTCATTTGCAAGGTTCCTCTGTTGCTACTGGGGGCACTGTGTAATATAGGCGCCAGGCTCCAAAAACTTTTCATAGGCCACGTCTACACAAGATGTGTTAATGTGCATTAGCCTAATTTAATGCGCATTACGGGCACATGTTCACACATACACACCCTTAATGCACATTAAAATGGTGAAATTAAGCTAATTGCACCTGCAAATGCAGGTATCAAATTTAGGCACAATTAGTTATAGTGTATTAACGCACGTGTAGGTGTGATCCGGCACTAACTTTAGTGCCAGGTCTTCCCAGCCACTAAAGACACATGGTAGGGCTGCTGGGACTTGGTGCTAACTTTAGTGCCAGGGGGCACCTGTACACTGTGAGGGTGTTTTAATCCTTAGGGTTACATTCTATGTCCCCTAAATCAAAATGGTGAGTTTTTAACTGAATCCCACCATTTCAATTTAGGGGTTTTATTTTTCATCACTGTTACAGCAATGGGCTGATCCTTTTTTTTTTTTTTGGCGAGAAGCTTAATCCTTTTTTTTTCCCAGTGGAGTCTGCCTGCAGCTGGAGGGCTAGCTCCCGAAAGGCTGAGTGGCCCCTGAGCTGCTGGGGGCCCCAGTCCTTCCCTCGATGGTGGCGCCCCCTGGGGCTGCCTGGGTGGGTTGCTAGTGGGCCAAGTGCTGCCCCAGCTTGGAGGCAGCATGTGGCCCAATCCAACTCTTCCCTGACCCTGAGCTGGGGCAGCACCTGGCCCACTAGCAGCCCACCTAGGTGGCCCCAGGGGGTGCTGCTACCACAGAGGCAAGGACTAGGGCCCCCTGCAGCTCAGGGGCCATTTGGTCCACCAGCAGCACACCCCCTGGCCATGGGAGAGGCAGGGAGGTTTCACCAAAAAAAAAAAAAAAAAAAAAGGATCAAGCCCCTCGCTGCTTCTACCTTCAGTAGGCACTTGCTGAAGGCAGAAGTGATTAGGGGCCTAATTCTTTCCTGCCTGTCTCTCCTGTGGCTGGGGGACGAGCTGACAGCTGCATCATTGCAATTTGCAACATTGTGAACTAAGCTACATTAGGATGTAGTTTAGTTTGCAACAATACAAACTCATTTAAAACCCCCCAAACTCCTGCACGTGTACAGCATGACACCATTAAGCCCCACACACTGACATTTTTGTCATGTGTACATGGTAATGGCATCATGTGTACAAGAGCCCAAGTGTACTAACTTTAGTGCCAAGTCCCTGCATGTGTAGACACCTGCCAAAAATTGCCTAATGTGCATTAAATTCAGTCGCACTTAAATGCATGTGTAGACACACCCATACAGACCCAGTTTTCTTCTGTCTTGGCTTGTTTTCCTAATGTGAAGGAAGTTGGTGTGTGAGGTCATGCAGGTCTGGCGAGGAACTAGCATGGAGTCTGGCAGCAGAGGGTACTGCCAAAGTTGGGACTGGTAGTAGTGCAACTTGGTTCCCATGTTGGAGTGGGGTGGGATGGGGCAGGGCAGACATTATCTTCCACTTGAGGAGAAGAAGTGACAACAACCAAGGAAGAAGCACAGAAGAATATTGAAGAAGCTGGAGACAAGTATATTCCAGTATACTCCAGTTGCTACAAGAGGCAGGTTCTATTTTAAGCTATTGTCATACTTACAGGGGTATGTTTCTTGGTAGCCACACAGACTTCCTGTATACATGGCCTGCCAAGACTGCAGGAGCATGGAACATGTCACCTTTTAGCCACTAGGTCACTATCTCTAGACTAATTAATATTTATTTGTCCAAAGTATCTTTAAATAAATTAATAAAATATAACACATTACTGAATGGAGATCTTAAGAGATTACATCTTTTGTAAACTGTAGACACATAAGTATTTGAAATAGATTGGAAGCTTTTAACACTTCTCTGATGGTAATGTATATAAGCAGGCAAAATAAAATTGCAGTCAGATTACAAGAATTTCATTTTAAATTGATATAGCAGATATTTTCTTATACTGTGTCAATTTTTTTCCCTTTTTTATGCCATTTCAAACATTTCTGAAACAAATTCTTATGACTGCTACATCATGAAACTTCAAACTACCTGTGGATGTACTTACTGCTACCCAAACACCCTGGGAAACCTGTGGAACAGTTATTTAGAAGAATGCTGAAAATTCTGCTCTCAGATTTTCACTTCAGTGTTCTGTTCTTCCAATGGGAGCTTCAGACACATGGGTAAACTGGATTATCAGAGTTCTGATGAGAACTGATCTTTTCCCTTGAGAGCCATATGAACAGTACCTTCCTTCTGGTGCTTGAATGAGTCTCTCATGGACATGTGTTCAAGCTCCATCAACTCAGCTTGTGACAGAAATTAACTTGTCTCTCTCTCATTTCCTTTTATCATTATTTTTGACCTACTAAAACATAATATTAATTTGCTGATATTTGGGCATTTAATTGGTTTTTGTAGTATTAAAGATGTGCATTGTCATAAAAAGAGCATTTTATTACATGAAACAATGTAAAGTAAAATGATAATAAAAATATCAATTGATCTGTTATTTCTTTACATTTTTAGTAAGAAATTAGATTTGCTGTAAACCTTGTTCTTTTTTTTTTTGCTCTGGCACAATAGCATGATCCTTTAATTTTTATTTTTTTTATTTTGATAATGTTCTAGGCTAAAAAAAATCACTTTATGATCCTGTTGCACATAATTGATATTATTTATGAAACTTCATCTATAAAGCTGTCAATACAAATCTCTAATTAATAAGAACAATTTTGCTTTTTGTATCAGTATTAGCATGACTTTACATATAAGCGTTTCACTGTAATGTTTAAGGAGGAATTGATCACTTATATTGATATAGTGCTATTCCATCATGAACCTTAATCAGTCTTTGGTGTATAAAAACATCTACCATATAGTCACAAGTGAGAAATAAGTTGTTACTTATTGGTATTTTAATAGCAATGTCCATGTCAATGATAAATGTTTAACTATGGTGGTGAGATTTTTCATGTGTATGTTGGATAACTTGAAATGCTAAAAAAAATTAAAATACGATTACAATTAATCTAAAGGAAAAAAAAACCTCTTTAAAAGAAATTCACATTTTGAAAGCCTTTCTAAGAAACCGTAGTACTGGATAAAATTAATTACCCTATTATCTGGGACCAACCTTTTGGCAGCTCAGGAAGCTGAATTTCCCTTCTGTGTTTGTTGGACAGCTGTAGGCACAATGCCGTTAATTCTAAAGAGGTATATTTGTATATACCGTATTCAGATAACATGTTAACCTATAAACAGCTATAAGGTCTTTGTATTATTTTAACCCATGTTAAGCTACTGTTTACATTACAGAATTTTTAAACTAATGTATATATAATTTTATAAAATACTTTCTTGTATTAAATATTTCTTTTGAAATATCCTGTGGTAATTTTGTTGTAATCTGGTTGAAATATCCTACTTTATAACCAAGAAAATAAATAACATTTTGTATGCTTAAAAGATAGCATATCTATAGCCTGTTTATAGCCTGTTTTATAATTGTATTTTTGATTTATGTTAACTTTTTAATGTGCATTGTTCACAAATGCATGGTTTGGGCTGAATTTTCAAAACAATGTGCTTAGGTATTTGCTTTTAATTAATATTTTCTTCATTGTGTCTGATAAAGAGCAATATTTGAGTGATTTGAATTGATGTTTGGATTGTAAATGTAGACAGGGAAGAGAGTAAACAAACACCTTTCAATTACATTCGCTTGTCATGCCTGTTGCTGTTGGAAAACCCATATCTAATGGCATCTAAAAGCTAATGGCCACCAGTTGCATTCTATTCTGAAATCATGGTTTCCATATAACTGTGTTGTTTCACTAGAATCAGTGCTAGATAATAGTTAGAGCTAGGGGTGCACTGATAGAGATTTTTGAGGCTGATATTGACAGCAGATTTTTAAGGAGGCATCGGCTGATACTGATCCAATTTCCAATACAGCATGGATTGCTGCATGCAGCTCGTAAGTGTGTTGTGGTGGAAGGGGAGGGAAGGGGCGTAGGGGGCAGATAAAAGCCCTTGCGGTGAGGGAGGGAGTGGAGCTGGGGCAGGGGCTGGGGCAGGCACTGCCCAGCCAGGGTGGGGCGGGGCAGGGAACAGAGCCATGGCTCATCTGGGGGAGCGGGGAGGGGGGAGCGGCTCCCACTGCTGCGCACACTCCAGGAGGACATGGTGGGGGGGCATGTTCCCCCTGGATCTGCATGGGGCCAGGCAGGCTGCTGCTGTGGGCTGGGGCTGGGGCCAGGGCTGCATTGGGCTCTTCCTGGTGGGGGGCAGGGCTGGGCGCCCCGATCACAGCCTGACAGCCCGCACCAGGATGAGCCCAGCACAGCTCTGATCCCAGCCCACAGCAGCAGCCCACCCTGCCCTGCACAGATCTGGGGGGGGCACATTCCCCTCCCCATGCCCTCCCGGGGTGCGCATAGAGGTGGGACCCCCCCCCCCATGCCTCCTGGATGAGCCACAGCTCTGTCCCACAACCTACCCCAGCTGTGCAGCGCCTGTCCCAGCCCCATACCCTCCATCACTCCGTGCGCCTTGATCTTCCCTAGCAGCTGATCGCCGAGCCCAGAAATGCCGGCAGCGAAACCAGAAGTGCTGCTGGGGGACTGAGTACCCCCTGGAGGGCCCAGCCGGCGGTCCCCCCCCACCGGCCGGCACCCGTGGGCATGGCCCACCCTGAACCCCCCCATTCGGTACGCCACTGTTAACAGCCACATCAGGCTGATTTCTGAGCCAGTTTTCTTTATATCAGTGCCGATCCGATATTGGACTGATGTTTTGGTGCACCTCTAGTTAGAGCAGAGGACTGTGCGTTGCAAGAACTTAAGCTCTTTTTCTGTCTTTTCCAAAAACTTGCCAAGTGACACTGAGCAGTTTTGGAAATTAAACTGATTTTAATCTCAGCTCCATTTTCTTCAGTAGTGTAACAAGGGTTGGGCAATGGACACAAACACCGGGCACCCACTTAGAAGATGTGCAAGAATACCAACCACTACCAGCCCACCTACTGCCACTGCTGCAGCCGGCCTAGCCAGAGACACTGGTAGTTATGCCTCTGATTTTTTTCATCTGTACATGAGAAGCTTCAAAGAGTGTCTGCAAAATGCACAGGTTGGCTTCTGTATGTATGCTCACAACCCTTTGAAAGAAAGCAGTTCTTATGGGCTTCTCCTTCTTTCCAGAGGCCATAAAGGGTCATTGCCCCTTAATTCCGCCTCAGTTATTTTTCACTACTGAGGCCAAAAAACTGGGATCACTTTCTAAGTAGCAAAAGGATGGGTGGGCAAGTGGGGCCCAAGCCCTGGGTGCTATCAGTTGGCGGCGGGTGGGGGCGGCGGGACTCCATAATGGAGTGGGTTGCATCTCATATGGAAGTGTTCCTCTGCTCCTCCTTCGGCACTTTCCAGCTCCAGCTGTGTTTGTCAGTGAGTGAATGGCATTTTGGGACATTAAGTTTTGTCAAGCAGCTGTGGGTACAGCTGCATAA